ATCATGGTGTTTTGTCTATAGGATAACGAGATGGTGAATATAAATTGTGCAGTTGGTCATAATAGTAGTAATAATAGTAATAATAATAATGGTTGTATCAGTAATAAGGATGAAAATGTGAGGCGATATGTGATAACACGAATAATTAAAAAAAACAGCATGATTAAACAAACAAATTTTCAGGTAGAAGTAGTCGATAAAGGCTAATAAAAACAAATGAACCGATTACGTAATGTTAGATTGTAAGGGAAGGAAATGAAACACGTTTATAATAAAGATGTGACAAATTAGGTCAAATCTTAAAAGTTACGTAATACGAAAGGTGAAGTGGACAGATAATCAGAGTTTAAATAAACATCATAAAAGTACAAAGGGGATGGAATATAAGAGGGGAGGGTTATGTCTGTCTGTCTGTCTGTATGTCTGGATTCAACATAGAACTTGGCACCGAAGTGCACCAGTTCGAGTTGCCACGTTCCAAATAGCACACAGAGGTAGACAAGAAGATGAGTGAAGAGAATCAATAGAGTTTGACAAGTATAAGAGTGAAACAGAATGGGTAATGGTAGAAAGGAATATGAAAGATTACAGAGACTGAATACATCTGCGCTGGCCATTGACAACGATTTTGAGCCATGTCACCTATTGTCTCCAGCCATTGATTCCTAGAGTCCCGAGGGCCCCAACCCGGGAGTCTGCATCTCCCTACCTGACTGACTCAGTTTAACTGTCAAGGATTTCATGGATTGATGAGGCCATGTTTTTGTTTGGCCACCACTGGCTCTTTTCCAACCTGCACCTATATCAGCTAGCAATGCCCGTCGGGGGAGGCGGTGGTTAGGCATGCGCACCACGTGACCTAGCCATCTTAGTCTATGTAACTTTATAGCCTCGTCGATTGATTTTCCCTCTTTGCCCAACACTCTACGCCTAACGTCAACATTACTTATCTTGTGAAACCACCTAACGTGAGACAGAGATCGCAGACATCTATGATCGAAAGCAGTCAACCTTTTCATGTCTTCAACGCGTATTGGCCATGTTTCAGAGCCATAGAGAAGGACGGAGCGAACTGATGAGCAGTACACACGTCCCTTGGTTGATAACCGGATGTCACGCCTACGCCAGAGATGGTGTAAGTCAGCGAAAGCAGCTCGAGCTTTTCGGATCCGTGCTGAGATTTCATCGCCAATCAGTCCGTTGGTGCTAATACAACTTCCCAAATAGGTGAAGTGGTCAACATGTTCTATCACTTCACTCCCTATCACTAAGTTAGGAGTTGACGTGGTCCAGTCCTGTAGCAGCATCTTACATTTTGTAGGGGCGAATCGCATGCCAAACATACGAAGATTGCTGCTCAAGGTGTTCAGAAGACTCTGCATTTTGTCAGCATCCTCCCCTAACAGGACTATGTCATCTGCATATTCTAAGTCCATAAGACTATTCCCTGGTAACAAGTCGATTCCTAAGTCATTACGTTCAGTTAAGGATACTTCCATCAGCATATCTATGATGAAGTTAAACAGAAATGGGGAAAGTGGACATCCCTGTCGGACACCACTGGTTGTTACCAATTCAGATGACAATTCCCCATAAGCCCTTACACGACTACGTGAGTTTGAATAGAGTGCCTTGATTAGTGCAATGTACTTTCTTGGCACTCCCTTCACAGTCAGACATTGCCATAGTACCTTTCGATCCACGGAGTCGAAGGCCGCCTTCAAGTCAAGAAATATGACAATTGTTGGACGCCGAAAAGTGTGTCTATGTTCTAGAATCTGTCGAAGAGTGAAGATATGATCTATGCACCCTCTACCTGGTCTAAAGCCTGCTTGATTTTCCCTTGTCTGTTCCTCCCGAGTTCTGCTTAGTCTATGCATGATTACTGAGCCTAGGATTTTAGAGACTATGTTCGTTAGGCTGATCCCCCTATGATTATCACACGAGGACTTGTTTCCCTTCTTGAATATCGGTATAATAAGTGACTTACCCCAGTCTGATGGCACTGTCTCTGATTCCCAGACTTTGCCTAGTACCTCAGTTAATCTACAAACTAGTATGTCACCCCCATATTTAAACACCTCCGGAATAATTCCGTCGGGTCCTGCCGCTTTGCCTCGTTTCAAATTACTGATAGCTTTTGTGACCTCACTTACAGACGGCGGACCAGTGTCTATATCCCATTCGGGTGTGTGTGGATGTCGGGGAGGTTCAGTGTGGCTGTAGGCAAGTTAAATTGTCCTCAAAGTGTTCTTTCCAGCGTTCAAGGCGTCTATCCTGAGAGCTAATTAAGGAGCCATTTTTCTCAGAAATAGTCTCACTTATGATTTGCCTTCTCCCACCCGTTTCCCTGATGAGTCTAAAGAGTTGCCTAGTGTTGCCTATCGCCGATGCTTTTTCCATCTCTTTTGCCTTTGTCATGAATAGAATTCACCTAGGCAGACAAGGGAGAGACAAAGGTAGAACAAACTTCTTTTACAGGCAAAGACTAAGACTGTTTCCTCGAATTAAGGGGTGATAAAAGAGGGGTTAAAAATATAAGTAAGGAGTGGTGTAGAAGTCATCAGTTGGTTATGTCTTGATACGCCAATAGGGGAGGGATAATGGCTGTACGAACTTCTTTTGAATGCATAGTTTAGGTTTAATAGTTTGAATGCCTATGACTGCTTCTCACTCGGCAACCAATTATTCTGGAACTATTCTGTCAAATACTGATCACAATTCATATAACAATAAAGTTCAAATTCCATGTCAATAAAAGTGACCAGCAGAGATGTGAACTAACAGGTGATCACAACAACAAAGGTTTACAGGAGATACAATTATGTCACCACTAATGGAGAATTCATTTAAGCTTTTTCATACTGAAACTTGCACTGAAGTAGTTGTCCATAAGGTAGATAACGAAAGCTTGGCAGTTGAATCTACAACCACCTCAAAGAACACGACTGAATCAAGACTGATAGACCGTTGGATTCTGTCCCTGTTGCTGAGTGATATACAAGCTCATCTTATAACCTGAATTCCCTTGGTTAGATCCCTGGAGGGGTCCTGAGCGGGTACTGCTGGAAAGTTCTAAACTAGGTCTGTAACGGCCGAAGATAAGGGCTAGGCAACAGATCGTTTATTGAGGAAATCAAGAGATATTTGTATATTTTTATGTACATTATTATTCGTTATTATTAGCAGCGAAACAGCGTCTTCTGATTGGTCGTTTTCTCGCTGAAAGGTATTCTGTCATCTCTTTGCGGCCATTACCTTGAAGGTCAGACCATATACCTGCGAATCGTATCCGCCCACGCAAAGTCTGCTGTGATTGGTTGTTGATTAAGTCTTTGTTCTTGTTTTTATTCTCATAACCAAGATATGAGACGTTAACATTGACGTGAATTGCTGCTGTCTACCAATTTTGGCTAGCAGACAGCTTTCACCACAGGTTAAAACCAGTATTTCCTTGTTTCCGATGTTTCTTAACTGATATCAGTCAAAATAAGTCTTGAATTAAAAGTAAAGCCAGTATTATTGTTATTTGGCTGTTAATGACTAGCAGCCGCAGCCAAAACACGCATTCGTTTTCTGTTCAGAACTCCTCAACTGAATATATACCTTCATCCCTTAATATATGTGTAAAACTTGTGCACTGTGGTAGTAAGTAATTCCATATTAGTTTGTTTATTAGGTATATCACACACAGTGAGTGAAACAGTATTATTTACTAACTGGATGACAAGGTTTCGAACACAGTTTATTGCAGTTCATAATCATGTCATCAATTGTAATCACACGACTTTGAAACTTGAGTTTTATAGTTTTCTTTGTTCTCTCCTATTTGTCGTCGTTGGTGTGGTAGAATTTTCCAGATATCTGCGTGGATAGGTGTTGAATCATTCGTATTACACATGTTCTCTCTTGGTTGATTCGATTAACAAAGCTTCCACTGTCATCAATCTCTCCCTCCATCCTGCTGTTACATTAGATTTCAAAACTGTCATCCTATCCCATCCAATTGTATGGATGTGTGTGTAATTTCATGTGGTGAGTGGTATGGCTGAACTGTTCTCTAGATTTCTTATCGTATTCGGGTCAACCAATCTAGATTTTGTTGCTAGGCTTTATGTTCGGCTAGTCTGACTGCACCTGTTCCACTACTCTGACTTATGTATTCGACCTGATAATCATCACAGGGAGGGTATTAAATAAACTAAATTGTTTTGTTTTAACGGCTCCACAGGATTGATCCTTTAACCCACAAAGCTTGTTTCTAATTGAGTTTGTGGGTTTGAATGCCAGCCACTTTTATTCCTGCCTTGTTAAGAATTCTGCGTAAGGTGGTTTCCGAGGTCCCTTACTTGTATGGAATTACTACTGATGATTTAGATTCCTTATTTGTCTTGCGCATATTTGACATGCATGTCATCATTAACATTACTACTATTATCACTATCACTACTAACATTATCTATTTTATTTTCACATTTCCCTATATATTTCCTGACTAATTTATTAGTATAATACCTTCATCCGAGTGATAGATGGTATTTCCGCCGAGAAGTACCGAACTTAGTAGCGAAAGTCTCATCAGGATGCAGATTCATCCATCCAGATGATGACCACAAAAACGGAGAAAACACATATCACACACTTTACTCCTAAACACCACCTTCTACTAATCTCAAGGCACCTTCAATAGGTCTGAACTACGGAGTCGCCATATTGGAAGGGCCCGATTATTATTATCTCATCCACCCCTCACCACACGAACTCCCCATGTCACCCTAGGACGACCCACTAGTCGATTCCCATCAGGATTCCACTCGAGCGATGGCCTGCATTGCGTACGATGTCATTCGACCGTTTCCTCAATGTATGCCCTATCCATATCCATTTTCTCCTACATATTTGTTAAGCAATCAGCTCTCGCTTGTTGGTTCGTTTGGGTTGATTATCTTATCTCATATAAAATCGATCAACAATAAAAATTTAAAATTATTTTAGCTTACCCTTTAAACTGTGAATAATTGAATTTTGCCTATGAATAAATACCTTCACTTGTTCTTTTAAACACTGCAAATGTTGTAAAGCATTTTCATGTTTAATAATTATCAAATAATAATTTTTACAAATTAACTGACTACTGATTTCATCAGAAAAAGTAGTAGTAGTTGTGGTATTTAATTTAAACTGATTTATCCACAGAAATTGTTGTTTTATAATTAATTCATTGAAATATTGCTTCAAATCATGTAAATTTACATCATTGGAACATTGAACAGAATTCCAATACTTTAAATCAACTAATTTATAGCCATAATTTAGGGTTAATAATTCAATTAATTTCGGTATTAATTGATAACATTGTGATGATAATAATAAAAATAGACTAGTTGCTCCGTACTCAATGATCCAATGTTCATTTTGACTATTATTCAATATTGATAAGTTATCTTTAAATGTTTTAATGTAATTCAGAATAGACGGATGTGTAAGACGAGGACCGAACCAATGAATCTGTGAAAAGGAAATCAATTAAAAGTGTAAATGGTTGGTGATGGCCCAATATCTCAAATTAACTGAAGTTACAATTCACGCATCCTTGGAGTATAACTCAACTTCGCTGAATAACCAACGAACTGGGTTCGTAAAATGAAAGTTGTATGTTTGATGCATGGTAAGATTGTGTTTACATACAGCTAAAGACTCCCAGACAAGAACTATCCAACTACTCAATACTGATTGGTTTTCTGTAACTATCAACAGTGAAATTAATACATTGTTATTATCGGGCTTCAACAGTTATCCTCTTAAGTTGGCGATAAATGACTTTGAATGTCTGGTTGACATCATTCTTGCGTATTTCTCATTGAATTTCCGAACATCATCTTGTATAGTGGTTAAATAAAGAACGAACAAAATCTATTCGTAGCGCTATTCTATCACACTCATCTTGTGGATACACAGAACACAAGATTGATGTCAACGAGGCGGCTTTCAAAGTCATTTACCGCATACCAACCAACAAATCTTAACTTCACCTTAAGAGTTCGTTTACTAAATATTTCTGAGGCTGGTTATTGGGATTCACATTAAGAAGCCTAATTTAAATGTCCAAAAGAAGCTAGCTCAGACAATGTCCTTACCCAGTTGGCCATCTAGGTTCGAATGATCCTCAATTTATGTAGAAATTTTCCAAAGTTTAGTTTATATTCTATTTAGAAAACAGAAAGACTGAGTGAAGAAATATTTACTTTTCAAATAGATCCTCAACCGATTGACATTTTGACACTGACTGATTATTGTTAACAAACATACCAGCGCAACTTGATTGGTAAACTGTTGTGTATTGTAATAAAAATGCTATAAGTGTATATTAGAGTAGAGCCAGAGAGGGGTAAGGATCTAAATGAAAAGTAAATATTTCTTCGCTCAATCTTTCTGTTTTCTAAATGTCTCAATGGGAATTTTTTCGATATTCTATTTGTTATTATATTATTATATTTTAAGCATGTTTAATGAACTGTAATTCCATCGTGGTCGTGTGTACTGCTCAGCAGTCCGCTCCGTCCTCCTCTATGGCTGCGAGACATGGCCACTGAGAGTGGAAGATATGAAAAGGCTAACTGTCTTTGATCATGGGTGCCTGCGTTCTTTCTCCCGTGTGAAGTGGTATAATAAGGTGAGCAATATTGAGGTTAGGGGTCGAGTGTTAGGTTAGCAGGAAAATCAATTGACGACCTGTAAATTACATCAACTGAATGGTTAGGACATGTGTTACGCCTAGTCGTCACCTTCCTCGACGAGCAATGTTAGCGGATATAGGGTCAGGCTGGATAAAAGCTAGTGGAGGTCAAACCAAAACATGGCTGCACCAGTCAATGAAATCTACAAAACCCAGTACTTCCAGGTTTTCCAATGGTTCTCTAACTAATGTCAGCTCATGATGAAACCCTGAAACCAATCAAATCCCTTCAAACCAACACTTAAATAGCAATGAGATGCTCACTGGCGACTCGCCCTATTCAGGTAGGTAGTTAACTGGGTTCCAGTGGGAAGTCGTGACCAGTAGGGTGCAGCCGGTCGGGTGTGAGGACAAATACTCGCCAGCGAAGACATTGGCTAGCGGTCGCGCTATGTCGTGAATTGGCAGAAGTTAGAATTCAAGGACCATTGGATCGGGTCCCAGTGACTTAATGGTCTACGAGCTCGCCTTGTAACCGGAAGGTCCTGGGTTGGAATCCGGTGGGTGCGTACTGCTGAAGAGTCCCAAACTAGGATGAAACAGCTGTCCAGTACTCCCTGCAGGTTTTCCAATGGTTCTCTAACTAATGTCGGCTCATGATGAAATCCTGAAATCTACAACAGTTAGTTTAAGCCACGTAGGAAGGTGTAGACTTCCTGACTTGGGGTACTCGGGATGGTAAACACCAATGGCTGGAGACAGTTGGTGATATGGCTCAAAATCGTTCTCGATGACTGGCGTAGATGCATCCACTCCTTGTGACTTATGATTTCCAATGAAACTGTTTTGTTCTTCGTTACTACTATTCCTTTGTCTCACACCTCTGTTTACTGTCTCTATTATGCATTTTTGTACTTTCCTCTCTTGCTTTGTGTGCTAGAAGGAGGGATTGTGGCGACTTGAACTGGTGCATATCATCGCAAAGTTCTATGTTGAAAACAGACAGACATACAGACTTTACAAATCGATATTATTTAAAAAAGCACTAATATTGTTATTGACTACTAATCTAGAATATTCTATGTATATAAACATGCATACGTAATTGTAAAGCCATAAGAGGAAATTATCGAAAAGAGTATTCTTCGTTCACATTTATTTTGTTTTTTATATAATCAATTTTTTAAAGAGTAATTATATGATTAACTCATAATTTTAAACTGTAATAACTTACAATATGTTCCTTATTCACATCATCGTAACAACTGCCATGTACTTGTACACTTTTAGATAAGAATATTGATTTTTTGTTTGTAAACCAGTTTAAAATATGCTGGATTTCAATATGTGATTGAATCCCGCGAATAGCTAAGATTAAGTAAGGCTTTAAACAGTTGTCACCTTCATTGTGATATGTATTTTTAGAAGATAACCAAGCTATACGAATACCTGAAGTGTATAAATTTCTTAAATGAAAATTAATCAATAAACTATAGATCAACTGTCCAATAATATTTAGCTGTAACTGTGATAAATTGATTTCAATGACAGTTGTACAATACTGTTCAATGTTCAATGCATATATTGAATGAGATTTTAAACGACAATAGTTTTGTTTTAATGGGTGAATATTTCTAATCCATTGATCATACTCATTATTGAAAGTATTATTTTCATCATTATCTTGATCTATTTTAGGTTCAGTGTTCCAAATGGAGTTGTCATGTTGGATTTTACCAATATAAGAATTAGGTTGTGTTTGGTGTTGTGTTTGAAACCAAAAATTAGAAACATCAAGTTGAATATTAAACACATTCAATGATATTGGAATATTTAACTTTGGTAGATGAATTCCTTCAGGATTATATATCCAATTATTATAATTTTTCCATTGATTTATCTAAAATTTTGTGAACAAACATTTACAATCAGTTATAGAATTAGAATAAAAAAATAAATCTAAACTTTGGTGATTCATTTAAAATTCCGATTTAAAAACATTTAGAACAACAGCAGATTGAGAGAAGACATCTACTTGGTTTCAATTCGTTCTACATCAACGGCTTTTGATCGGAAGTGTATATAAATCATGAGGTATTGTGCCAGCTAGTCAATAACCATTATCATCAGTTTTAAGAAACAGGGAGTATGATAATAACGGATTAAAGGTCATCGTAATGGCTATTCCTGGAGGTTATAAACTTTGAAGTAAACGAACGGTGAAAATAAATACACGGAATCTCTAGAGGTTAGTCCTAAGTTATTACGTAATCATCAGTCCGCAAGATTATGGTGGCTGAATAGTGGAAAAGGACTATTCTCTGTCTGTAAATAAGAAGCATTCATACTGTATACGACTGCAATTCGGGAGTGACGTGCCGAGTAAAATAATTACCAACAAGTTAAAAAAAATCTATTCAAAGAACTTTCAGTGCTGGTAAAACTATAAGTCATATTTTCTATACCATCACAGATGAAGCACCTGAACATACCACTTCTAATTGTATCTACAGGTTCAACTGCGTTTGTGGAGCCAGTTATATTGGCCATTTGTCTATGAAATTGATTTTTTGTGCTCGTTCGGGAACACTCGCCAGTGTGGATAAATAAAGGTGTAGTAAAAACCATCATCAACAGTTCGATATTAGACCGTCTGGTTCAAACCGACAGGTGACAGAGCAAGCTAGCATTAAAGAATCCTTCCCTCCATCACCAATTGGGTATCAAATATACTGCCAAAAGCATCCAACAGCAGAGGCTATTGAGATTCACCTAAATAAAAACCGGTGCTCTGTGCATGTGTATGTGTGCAGAAGAAACAGGTCCAGCTAGCCAGCCACTAATACTGCCCTGGACTTCTGTGGAGCTTGTAAATTCATGAATTCTGTATTATTAGTATTATGTTGCCTAATTTATCTGATATTCAGAGCATAGTGTTATGTTGATGCCTATTATCACACTAACAGATGCTATTGAACTGTAATCTATTCACATTATTGATTGATTCGATGTTATTCAAAACTTAATATTAATTATTATGGATGGATATTTAACTGTGGGACATGATGAAGAACAGGTTATCGAAAATGTGAATATTCTTTGTTCAATAATCAGACTTTTGAAGCTTTAAAATACTTCGTCCGTGTCAGCCTGATGTCCAGTAATATAAGCCACCAGATGAGCTAATATTCAGCTGCATATAGCTTTATTCGATGTTTTGCCTAACCAACACAGGTGGTGTTCAGAAATTCAATAATAAGCTTGCCTAATCGTGCGCCTAATTTAACTAGCTCCACAAGAGCAGTTAAATAAATAAATACACATAAATATTAATGTACAGTCATTTTCGAAAGCTAGATTTAATAGGTCATGAAGGCAAAGTTGAAATGACAGTCTTGACTGCAGCAGGATTCAGTCAAAAGAGTTTTTGAATTTTTAGTCTTGTAATCTGCCAACTGAGCTATGAGAATTCAATGCAGATCAGGCCATTGTTGCACTGAAACCATCACATGTTATGCTTAGTTATCGTGCGAATGAAGTAAAGCTTACTGTCCCCTATCCACATCACAATATCTACCTATGTGAGTAATGTTGAATCATTTCAATCGTAATCATAATGGGGTAAACTTGTGGTGACACTATCAGAGGTGATCTGCAGCAGGCAAATCAACAGTTTCTGATGTACTAGATAATACTTGCAGGTGAGGTGAAAATCTGGGTCGTAACAGCTAATATGATAGTAAACAGACAACAGTGTGATTAGTAATTAATAGTGTTCTATGAACTGGTTGATTTAGTTGCGGAGCTTTCATCGTCCTCAGCGCAATATTTAGCACAAAGTGAAATGATTTAAATTTCTTCATGAGTGATATAATTGCGTCTCCCGGTAACCATCTTCACATCTGTATTGATCATTTTCTATTGACTGGATTTGAAACTTTCTGGTCACCTGATTTACTTTTTATTAGTTGGTATATTTCGTCTATATTAACGTGTTTGTTAATTGCATAGTCGTTTGAGTACCAGGTTCCTAGGAATTCCCTGACTGCACTTTTGGTGGTGTTTCCTTTGTCTAAAATTTCAACATTATCCCAATCATCAAACTGACATCCATAATTATCTATATGCATTGATGTGAAATACGAATATATATCATGTCTTTTCACCGCTGATTTGTGTTCCTGGGTTCTGATTCGAAGGGGACACCCAATTCGGCCGATGTAATGTCTGTTATAGCTCATACAATTTATTTTGTAAATGGTATTAATTTTATCTCCTTTTTCTGTTGCATGTGTCTTTTGGTTTGCATAATATCGAATTAAGCGATTTGACTGGCTTGTGTGCTCTATCTATATCAAACGGTTTTAATAGTCTAGCTGTTATTTCAGAGATATTTCTCATGTATGGTAGGATGAATTTTCTTGTGGTCTTTGATGATGGTTCCTTGTTGGTGTTTTGATTCGATTTTAAACACTTTTTGATGAAATTTTGTGGATAACCATTTTTTTTGAAGACCTTTGTTGTAGGTATTTTTCTTCCATTCTTTTCAACTCTGGAGTACTACACTGTGTGCTTGAACTCTTTTAAACAATGTCTGCACACAGTTTCTTTTGTGAGTAATTAGATTATAGCTAGTATAGTTGAGTATTTGATCTGTGTGATTGCGTTGATTTTCTATATAACTTGTGTTTCTAAATTTCCTGTGTTGGTTCTCCTGATTAAGGAAGACATCTAAAAATGGGATTTTTTAATCTAATTCTTCTTCTTTTATGAATTTGACGTCTTCAAATATGCTGAATATTGCGCTGAAGGGGGATGTTGTCCAGAAGAACGACGAAAGCTCCGCAACTAAACCAACCAGCTCCTCAGAGAACACTATACTAATTGCAAATTATCCAGCTGAGCTACAAATCTTCTCTATTATTTCAAGACAACAGTGTATCATTCACACTGAATGTCATAACCACCAGGCATTATCATGGTGATTGCAGTAAAATCGTGGCCTGGTTAGAACCTAAGTTCTGTAATAATAAGAAAGAATTGTACCTCAGGTGGATTATTTTGAGGGGTTGTATACTCTGACGTAGGTGATTTCATTGTCCGACTTTATTGTCCCTCTAGGCTACTTGGTTGAAATGTGAGCTTTAATATAAAGTGAACTCTTTCCTCGTGAACGATCTAATTGTATCTCCTGTCAACCTTTGTTGTGATTGGCTGTTGATTTGTACTATTATTGATCGTTTTTTGTGGACAGGGGGATTTCACTTCCTTTGTATTATTATTATTATTTCCTTTAATTCCTGAAGGAACATTGGGCTTTAGCCGTGCGTCTCCATTGCGTTCGATTCTCTGCTAAAGTTTCCACCTGGCTCCAAGGCTCCCCACATGTTCTCCTCTTCATATGACCTCCTCCAAGTCACCCTTGGACGACCAACTCGCCGCTTCCCTTTCGGGTTCCACGCGAGCGATAGCTTGGCGTATGATGTCACTTGATGGTTTCCTCAGAGTATAATCAATCGATTTCCCTTATCATGTGACTTATTCTATATGAGTTGATAAATCGGATCTATAACAGTATGCTTGTCAGTCAGTAATAACATACAAAAAAATCCCCAATTATAAATTTGTGCAGAGAAAGAACAACAGTGGACATTGGTGCAGAATAACATGGATCCATTTTATTTCGTTGGTTCACCTCGTCAGCTGAGTACAACCTATAATCTTTAATAACCTCAGCTGGTGTACAATTTTAACATACTTTTACCTAGACAAAGCAATAAGAAGACAATCTGTCTGAATCGTGTTGTAATGTTTTTGCGCAAAAATTACTTCTAACAATCTGATCACATATGGACTTGTCATAGGAATGTATATATGAAATTTATAAAGAGTTAAGAGGTGAGAAAACAGATTTAGGTCAAGTTAAAAGGACATATTGAAGGTCAAAAAAAACAATGAAGATCAATCACCAAACTAAATAACAGAGGTAATAAAAAGTACATCTACCCTAGCTGGTATCAAAACAAAGTTTACCCGAAGGAATGTTTAATGTGATGACGAGTTGTTGCTTTGAACGCATAAAGGTGGTTTAAGCTTCATAATTACCAGTACTTTCACAAACTTCAAGGCACACCCCAAACACATTTTATGCATAAGTTTAAAAGACGCTTGGGAACATCAATTTTATGTCCTGTCTCTATAATATGTGTTTTTTAAAAAGAGGAGCCATGTCTTCCGTTCTCACCATGAATGGGTTTTGGCATATTGTAAGTGTGTCATAGTGAAACGAAACATCAAGACGATAAGGTAACTGAAGTATTAGAAAGAAGTTCCTAGAAAAACTGATTGACAAATTTGTTGTCAGGGTGGTAACAAAAATTAGTAACAATTGCATAGTTAGATAAGAGAATATCGAAATTTGGTGTGCAATAGGTCAAAGGAGAAAATGATGATGTAATGTGGTGAGTAGAACCTAGAAGATCAAGGACAATGATCGCCCATGGAATTCAAGCGAACGAAATAGTTTGGCGGGTGGGTTGAAAAGATAATTTAATGAAAATAAAACAACCAAAGAGTTACGAAGGGATGAATCGCCAGGGTAACTGAAGTCCAATGTCAGATTCCTTCTGGATACATGAGCCAGGTTTCAGTTGTTTTAATGAGATAGCCCCAGCAAACTCAAGAACACTTGAGTCCACTTGTCAGTTAATTATTTCAAATAATCTCAGCGCGTCTATTCGGTGTCCTCGGTGACTGAAGAGCCTAGACCATTCGACCCTTTAAGAATCTGAAGTAGGCCCTCCTTTCTGTTCTTCTAATGTAACTGCTTGTGCAGATACACGTGAATAGGTATAAATAGTTGGAGTTAATAAATCAGCGGTACTTGTCTATTTTTGACTGCATTAAAGAGGAGGATGTTTAGGTCAGAGAGATTAGTTTGTCTGCAGGATACTTCCTGGACAGAGCTGAGCTCAATATTTTATTAATGATTTTTATAATATCGTCACCTTTGACGTCTTTGATGTAAACCAACGGAATAAATTAAATCAATATTATTCTGCGCCAATGTTCGTTGCTTTTCTGTTCAAATCACTAATTAGTTGGAGTATCAAAATCCTAGGAATCCTCTAGAATTTTTGGCGTTTCCACCAAGTCAATAAAACCACCGACTTCGGATGGAAGCTAACAACGGATCACAACAAAGGTCGTCCAGAGAGACAGTGATATCAGACATAGAGAATTCAAGTGAGTTTGCTTCATATTGAGGTTTGCATTGATGATACTGATGAAAGCTTCACAGTTAGAAACCAGTCAGCCTAGATAAAACAACCAAATCAAACGTTCACATCTACATCTCAACCGATGCAGTAACGCGATAGTAATTTGGAGGCTGCTAGTGCCATTAATGCCACGATCCAGATTTGTTGACAGGTTTCAAATAAGATCCAAAACATTTGAATAATACACCTTAAGTTACATTGTTCTACATCGGATATCTGATATATGAAGGAATTTATCCAGATTCATTATAATGATCAACAAAAATCCGAATAAATCTGCTGAAGAAGCTGTGGCTTACACAGCCAAACGTTCAGAAAAATCTTGTTTTAATTTTCTCAACACGCTGGGATTAATTTAAATAATTTATAATGAATCAATCTGACTCGGCGCTCAAATTATTCCAGGAAGTTCGTAACTCCTACGGTCTGGAAACTTATAATTTGTCCAGATGTCTGCAAAATATTATTATTATTACCATCAAAATTGTTAATACGACTAAAAGTGACCACTGCTTTCCACTAAATAATGGCGAAAATTCTCAGTAACCCCAATGAACTCTTCATAAAACGAATCGATAACAAAATGGAGAACAACTTTTATAAAAATGAGCCATTTTAGAAGAAAAGTCACTCTCCAACACAGTTCAGCTACGACGTGACCGCTCAGAACCAACAAAAATGTAAAGAGTCTACCTGAATCAAACCAAGCCAACAAGCCATTTAAACAATTCACAGTTTCTCACAACCTCAACAAAATTTTACTCAATTTTATCTTTTAAAAATTAGAGCTATTCAAACATTTTAAAGTTGACTGTTCATCCACAAAAAACCATCACTTTTCAACAACATGTCATTTACAGCCAGTGGTTAAGATAAACGAGTGAATTAAAATTGAGTCTCAACGATTTAAAGTGAAAGTTCACTTGTCACAAAAGTTGACCAATCAGTTTGCAGCCAGTAAAATGGACCAATCATGGTAGGTCTACTATGTAAACTATGGTTGCTAAGCATTTATTACAATCAGATATTTAATTTGAATACATTTCGCAAATGATGAAATAATCAATGATAATTTTTTTTACCGTACAATAATTATGCAATAAATTACGATAGTTTCAAACTCAGTACTAGTGAATGCAAAAAAATGTTAATATTTTGTCAATAGTATGTGTAATTTACACAATATTCAACTGAGTATCACCTTCCACTGTACTGTTCTTCACATTGTTATGGAAACTACTTTGAACACCAAAAGTGTTACTGGATTCGTTTGAAGGAACAATAGACCAAAAGATTATTGAAAACTTATATCGTAAAAAAAGGATTTATAATGCATAGAAAATATAGTCTTCAACACTGAAATTGATTTTTTATTAAGTGTTATCTGATTGGCCGACACAAAGGTAAAATGTGATTGGCTGTTATCATAGCTTTTTGAACCTTACTAATATATTGGTGACTGATTCCCATTGTAATATATAGAAAATCAAGACAAGTTATTCAACGAAGAGACTCCTTTCTACAACGAATTTATTATCAAGCTGTACAATCGCATATAGATACGGGTTTTTTTTAAATTATATCCGGTGAGGGGATTGAGTCATAGGTCTGAATCCATGGAATAATAACAGTAGTACGAAGACTGATTGAACTTTGAAGATATCGATGTATAGAAAGCTGTCATGGAATGATCAACTGACAAATTTCTTCAGCTGGGTACCTGTTGGTCGAAAATGAAACCTGGTTCGGTCGTTTGCCACTCGCATTGGGCGAATATGTAGCCCTGATACTATGGAGGATGAATTAAATCTTTTTAGAAAAATCCTATAGTTTGGTTCGTAAGGGTTAGTCTTGTTTTTACGAGTTGATCACGGATTGATATTAGTTAGAGAACCATTGAAAACCAGGGAGTACTGGACAGCTGCTGTTTCATCCTAGTTTTTGGGAATCATCGGAAGTACGCACCCACCACCAGGGTTAGAACCCAGGACCTTCCAGTTACGAGCTTGCCTTGCGTACTTCCGATGATTCCCAAAAACTAGGATGAAACAGCAGCTGTCTAGTACTCCCTGGTTTTCAATGGTTCTCTAACTAATATCAATCCGTGATCAACTTGTAAAAATCCTAATAGAAAATGCATTTCCACCAAGTTTTATAGACAAGAATATACAGTCAAATCCTATGAACTGTGACCTAGCATTCATACACAAGAAAATACTGTACATGAGATTAGAATTCGAAGGTGACTTAGCTTCCCACATCATTAAAAGAAGGACCTCACGGTTCCTGAGAAGAACTTTCCGTGCTGCATCGTTGAGAATAGCGTTTTCCAGTCGACTATTACTGTCCAATAACCTGAAGGACAAGATCGGCAGTTGACTATCTCTATGTGCATTTATCAATTCACCTGTTCGTCGTTCAACTCGAGTTTTGTCCAAGAGGGTGCAAGAACACTATCCTCCATGATTGCGAAGAGGCGGAAGTCGAGAAATAAGAGGCGCAATCATTGAACATCTATTCGAAAATGATCACCGTATCTCCATAGCCTCCGCCTTTAAAGTCATTTACAAGGCAAAGAGCAATTTACCTAAATCCCTACGTACCCGACTCATCTGTATTGCTGAAGCTTCGGCTATCGAAACAGAAAAGCCAGATCTCTGTGTACAGAAAAAGTTCGTTCAACCCCTCCAACTTTCGTGGTCTTAATCCCTCTATGCTAAAGTATGGTAATCCCCAATCATATTTTACCTCCACCAATTTTTCATTTTTATTTTCATTTTGTCTATTCAATTTGTATACTCTTCCTTATTAAGTCAATTGTTATTATTACTATTCTCACTTTGAACTGTCCTCGGTATTATTTCACTTGTTCCACTTGTCATTCTAAATCAGTTTCTGTTTTGCAATGTTAAATTCTATGTTATCATATTTCACATAATGTTATGTAACGTCTTTATTCTATTTGCCTTCTAATCCTATAATTGCACACCCGCTTCCAAGTTTTATACATCCTATGAATTATTTAAGATTTGATAGTGTGAAATATTCCCATATCACGAATTAAAAGACAATCTGAACGAAGAATATTCTTTTCAATAATTTATCCTCTTCAGGTCCTTACAATTATAAAATATATAATTATAATTATAAAATATAATATTTGTGGTCGTTACAATAATGATAGCCAGTTATGCGGTGGATATATTTTTAACGTAGAATAACAGATTAGTTATGGGGTGTCAAAATAAATAGTCGTATATGTGTGGCAAACGTGCTACGCTGAAATCGATTACAAAGTATTGTGAAATGGGAGACAATGGTGGTGATTAATCATAATAGAATCGTAGAGGGGTAGGAAAATTGACAAATTAGTTCAAGGTTATAAAAGGCGTCAAGTGAGTGAGTGGCTAGTACAAAGTGGTCTGTGTTAAACAGGAGGTAGTAAGACTGGAATGAGAGGTTCATAGTGAGATAACGAATATGTTGAATGAAACAGGTGGAGGCATATATTGAGAAAAGAGATAATATCACTAATAATAAGTCCGTATAAATGAAAGTTCGATAGTACTGAGGGAATGTTTGCATAAAGGGCATTCCTACCCCACACTCTACAATTCTATTATGATTAATCACCACCATTGTCTCCGTTTTACAATATTTCTAATTGATTTCAGCGTAGCACGTTTGTCACACAAATATGACTATTTATTTTGACACCCTATAACTACTAATCTGTTATTCTACGTTAAAAATGTATCCACCGCATAACTGGCTACCATTATTGTAGCGACGACAACAAGTATTATATTTTATAATCGTAAGAACCTGAAGTGGATAAATTATTGAAAAGAATATTCTTCGTTCAGATTGACTTTTAATTCTATAAATTATTTACTGTATATATGACATTAATTTGCTTTGCCACTTGACATTTTACTATGATTATAATCACAAAATTTTTAGTTTTAATTGCATTTCATACTACTATTATTATTTCATGCACGTTCACACGTATGATTCAATTCCCACATCGGATATAACTTCTCTAAAAAATCTATATATATACGACTGTGCAGCTTGATGATAAATTCGTTGTTGAAAAGAGTCTCTTCGTTGAATCACTCGTTTTGATTTTCTATATGTATGACATAATACACAGTTATTTTACAAAAGAATATTACCTGTTCTGAACATTTTCTACTTATGATTGACTTTAAAACATCCAAAGAAACTTTATTATCCTCTAAATGACATAAATTAGCTTGTAGAAAACATTTTATTCTTGGTTCTTGTAATTGATTTGATTCTTTACAACCCAATGAAGCTGTTTGTATTAAACCTATTGTCTTAAGCGTAACTTCTGTTTGAGAAAATTCAACTTCACCACCATATATTGATAGTTGGATTAACCATGAAAGGATTCCATAGAATATTGACATTGACTCCATTGAATGATAACTATTGTTTAAATTTGATTGTTTGAATTGACTGTCAGCGTTATGTTCCATGGATTCAATGGATTCATTTAAAGCCTTGTCAATCATTAATTGATCGATTTCAAGATGAATAAAGATATTATCAGTAGTATTGCTTCCTTGTTTTATTTCCAATGGTATTATTGGAATAGCTGAAGTGAAACTCACTTTCTGTAAGGTAATAAAAAAGAAAGGCCAAGCGATAACAGTACCAGAATGGACACTAACGTCGAATGACCTTGAACCAACTAATCAGATTCTTCTAGGTGAAAAATGGCATTTGTAAAAAATTATATTTGTAAAATCTCAGCGATATTGAAATGAGTAATTCCAACGTTTCGTTCGGCAATCTGGTCCGAACTTCTTCAGGGAGTCGAAATTAACATAACAGGTTTATATATAAAAGGAACATCTTTAGTTTTTAAAAACTTTGTCCAATCATGATTTATAAAACAAATATTAACAAGTATAATAAACAAATTGTACGAGTTGTGATCAAAATTTGACCTCAGACTTACAAATATTGATCTACTTGTTAACACTTAGTTGTATAAATCATGATTGGACAAAGTTTTAAAAACTAAAGATGTTCCTTTTATATATAAACCTGTTATGTTAATTTCGACTAATTTCCCTGAAGAAGTTCGGACCAGATTGCCGAACGAAACGTTGGAATTACTCATTTCAATATCGCTGAGATTTTACAAATATAATTTTTTACAAATGTCTACTTCTCACTCGGCGCCCAAATATTATAGAACTATTCTGTCAAATCTTGACTACAGTTCATTTGAAAAGTGCATTCATTCTATAAAAAAGTGTATTTTGAGGAAAATGAACAAGGAGAATTAGCTGTGATGTTAGATTGTAAGATAAAACGAATAGAAGAAGGCAAACTACACACTAGTGTTTATAAAAAGCCAACGCATTCTAATAGAAATTGGGACTTTAATTCGTCTCATGCGTTAACTGTTAAGGCAGGTTTAGTGAAGTGTTTAACAAACCGAGCCATAGCCCTAAGTAGCACAAGAAAAGACCTAAATGATGAAATAAAACAGATAGAAGAAGCGTTGGTGTTGAATAACGATCCTACAAAATTCATTAGGAAGATTAGTCAAGGCCAAAAACAAAATAAAAATAATTGTGGAACTAGTAATGATAACATTAATAAGAGAGAATATAAGTCGTCCACTGTTTTAAAAATATAAGGAAGGGACATCTGAGACCCTATCTAGTATTTTAATAAAGCAGGAATAAGGGTGGAATTTAAACTCACAAACTCACACAGAGACAAGCTCTGTAGGCTAAAAGACCCGGTGGATCCAATTAGACAAATTAATATAATTTACAAAATACCTTGCAATGACTGTGAGTTAAGTCAACTACATAGGTCAAACTAGTAGGTCGGGAGGGGTTAGATTGTCAGAACATAAGAATTTAGCTAAGGTAAGAATGGTTGACCCTGAAAAGATAAGTAATTTAGAAAAAGCTCAGCTATTGCACTTCACGCATTAACACACAAACACACAATAGGGTGTCAGACGGTTAAAATTCTAAAAAGTAATCTAGGTAGATGGGGAGAGAGGTTGATTACTGAATCCTGCTTTGTTCATCGAGTCTACACACTCAACACAACACATCCAACAGAAATGACTTAATGCAAATACCGCAGATATGCATGGAAGATATTATTACCACCAGTTAGTCGAATCAGAAGAGGAAAATAAATAACCTTAAAATTCTATTTCAATTCAAACACATCACAACATTCTAACAAAAAACTTATTATGACTATAAAAACATTCGTCTTATTTCCCATCGAATTGTAATTGACCAATAACACTCGTATTATTATTATTTCTGATTGTACATTATCTCATATTGAATTTTATTCTAATATCTAATCGATTCCAGACATGTATATAAATGAAGGAAAAAAGTTGTGTGAGTAGTGCCTTGATATGATTATGAGTGGCAATAATTTGTGCTCGAAACATGGTCATCAGTTAATATTATTACTGTGTGATTTATCAAAATAAAATCTTATCCATAATGGACTGTTCCATAGTTCCCAAGTTTTATACTTATATCAATAATGTATTTATAGGATATATAGGATATATATGCGTAATAAAAATGAATTGTACTTTGTATGTAACTCTAATATACCACAAAAATTGGTCCGCGTTTCTCATAGGAGTGTCTTTAGACATATCAAACTAGTGTCGATAGAAAAATTCATTTGAGTGGTTGTATATTGTATAATGTCGAGAACCAATTACCATTCTAATACGTTTTTTTTCAGGTAGGCTCAGAATCCTTCAATGGAATCTGTATGGATTCCACTTATAGGACCCAATAATTTCGGAATAATGCTTGAGTTTATGATGAATATTGCTAAAATGGATTTTAACTTTCTCAGACAGAATAGTGTCTGTTGGTTACTGTTCAGGTGCTTTAGTAACCTTAGTAGATTTTTGAATCACATTTAAATACAAGTGAGTAAGTTATTATTGCATCAAACAATTGAAACTCTGTGGTTAGAGGTTTTGTATCTCCTGTCTACTGAATTAACAGTGGGGTTAGACAAGGTTGCCCAGTCGCTCCATTTCTCTTTAACTTTGCCATCGACGACATTCTGGAGTCAGCTCTGAAGGTGGTGTAGGTCTGCTACCTGGAGATAGACTTTTCTACCTCGAGTATGCAGACGATATCGTTTTACTGTGCGATAGCATGCAGGCTGCCCAAATCGCACTTAATCAATTGGCAATCAGTGTCTGTAAGTATGGTATGTGCCTTGCGCCGTCTAAGTGCAAAGTACTGTTACAAGATTGGCAGGAGCCTGTACCTGCACTCACTCTTGCGGGTCAACCACTTGAAGTTGTTGATAAGTTTGTGTGTGTGGGTAGTTGTGCGAGTGCTGGAAGAGGAGTAACGGATGAGATTTTCAACCGTATAATGAAGGCTAGGGTGGCATACACCAACTTGAGCCACCTCTGGAGCCGTCACGATGTTAGTCTGACTGTCAAAGGTCGGGTATACAATGCTTCGGTGCGGGCTGCGCTGCTCTACGCCTGTGAAACTTGGCCTTTCTCAGTTGGATGAGGATGTGCGGCGACTCTGCGTGTTCACTCACCGCTGTCTCCGCAGGAGTGATTGCGTTTGATGGCATCATCGCGTGAGTAATTCTGAGGTTCGGCGGAGTGTGTTTGAACACAGTGGAGATCACCATTCATTGAGTGTCGTCATCTGGAAACACCGGCTCCGGTGGCTTGGACATGTGATGTGAATGTTCGCTAGCCCTGTGAGGGGATAGAAAAGGCGGAGAGGTGGTCAGTCCATGACGTGGCGTCGAGTGGGATGAAGAATGTTTACGCTAGATTAGCATCGGTTGGTGCGTGACGACTCCCTGGTTGGGGTCCGAGAGATATCTGAAATCGATGGCCAAGAATCGTAATCAATGGCGAACGTGTTGCAATTTCCTTTTTTCTTCCCTTCTCGATGATAGTTAACGAATAATGTTTGAACTTGTTAAGTATGATTGTTTTCCTTCCAGATGAAGTTCTTTATCCGTTCTCTACTTATATTTTTACTTTTAATCTATGTTGTTTTATTATTATTGTGTGGCACATCTTTCTTGGAGCCATACCGTACCACGTTTTTTCTGCGTTTAAATAAATAAATCTACTGAATTAGATTAGATGCGTCGGTGGTATAGCGGTTAGGACGCTCGCCGACCATCCACATGGTCCGGGGTTCGATCCCCGGTCGACTCACTCCTTTACCTTGATAAGCCAGAAATAATGTTGGTAAAGTGGAAAGGTTGGGCATGAGGCTAGCTACCTCATCCTGTAAAATAAACACTGCTACAGAAACTTCAAGCCCCTAGCTTGAAGCCCTGTGTTCCACTGAATTAGATCATTGCTCTGTGAAAATATGTACCAAATTTACGTGTATTTAGCCTAATATTATTATTACCTCATTGACTAATAAATCTCTTAGTTGTGTTTTATCCACTGATTTCAATAATTCTTGAAAATCTCTTCTCTTTTCATTTTTCTAATTTCATTCATTTTTCTGTATGTAAATAAAACAAGCGAAGAAATCGATAAACAACGGAAAAAAAGAAATCAATAGTTGATAGATACACATATATTTTGAAACATACTTTTGGAAGTAAACAGAGAATAATAGTTTCAAGAAAAATTACAAGATGTTTGTTATCTGTTATTGCTGATTCCTTTCAACTGTTTACAACCTACAAAAACAGCCTCCATGCTAAAATAAGATGCGTACAAAATTCATTCACTGTAATCCAGCTGATTTAAAACGTTGACATTGATTTTGAGTAGATAAAGATGCTCTGAGATGTTCATCACCAAAACACATGACCAAGAAAGGAGAAAAGAACTCTTCTGTACCTGTTGTTAATAGGAAGCCTCTCTGTGTGTATACGCGACTGCGATTCAGACGGGTATGTATCCAGTAGAATAATAACTAACAAGTTGAGAAAATCGATACAAAGAAGGTTTACTTCTGGAAAGCTGCAGCTCATACTGTTCACATAACTGGTTGTGACTCCGAAATTGTAAGATGAAGTACGAAGGCTAGTCACCTCTAATTGTATCTACCAGTTCACCTGTTCCTGTGGAGCCATTGCTCGCTCGAGAACATCTAACGGTATGGTCGAACAAAGGCGTTGCCAAAAGTATTAACAGTTCTACACTGAACTATCTCGTATAAACAGTCTTCAAAGCGAGCACTGAAGGACTTTGCTGTATAATGCACCGGGTATCAGATAAATTGTGATGAGAGCTGTCTGCAAACAAACCGTAATTATAGACAACAATTTACGTTAACGTTTACGTCCCGAAACGTGGTCATGAGAAAAAACCAAGAACAAAGCTTAACCCTGAAGAACTCAACAACCAATCACAGCAGACTTAGCGTGTGAAAGAGTATGATTCGCAGATATATGGCTTAACTTTCTGAGAGACGGTTACAAGCAGTACAGAATAACCTTCAGCAAGAAGACAACCATGAGATTGCTTCTCCGCAAAAAATAACGTTAATAATAATGAACATAAAAATCTATAAATATTTGTTGATTTTCTCAGTAAACGATGTGTTTTCTGGCCCTTGTATTCTGTCGTTACAAAATTACCAAAGGCGTCTAGATGCTGAATACTTTAAACATCAGAGACCATTGTAATTTGCAGCTTTGTATTCAGAAGAAGCAGATCCAGCCACTACTGCTACCCTGATCTGCTGTTGAGCCTACAAATTCATAAATTCTATGTTATTTCCATCAAATTATCCCATATTCAATTTAGTGTTATATTAATGCACATTATCGCTCCTTTATTGATGCTCTGTGACTGACATCTGTTGATACTACTGATTTAATGGAATTTAAAACATTAATGCTGTTAATGACAATATTTCTCTAATTATTACTGTCCTATAAATATGGAATCTGATGACGAATTTATCGAATATTTGTTCATTAATTAGTCTAGTTAACTAGTCTCGCCTGGTTAACTAGCTTGCTGGTTTTCTGGCCAGTCTCAAGACAGGGTAAAGAGGGAGGATTGGGTGTAGGGTTAGCAACCCCACATCACTAGACCTATCAAACTGCTAGAGAAACTATCTACAACGGAAAACTCAGCGAGGCGTTCGAACTGCATACAGGAAGTAAGACAAGACTGCCTGCCTATTATCACCGATGATAATCTTAAGTGTGGTAGGTTGGATTATGCGTCAAACTGTGAACAGGAAGCTAGGAGTCAGCAATACGCTGGGCTACCGACAAGAAGACTGTAGGAGATCTGGATTTCGCAGATGGTCTATGTCTAATGTCACACAAACTCGAAGACTTGCAGGCGTAAACCAACAAACTGGCTGAAGAGGCAGTGAAATTAGGATTCCAAGTGAACATAGAGAAGATGGAGCTGATGAAGATAATCAATCAACTAAAAGCAACGACAACAACCAGCACCAATCAACTATCAAAGGAAGAGATTTAACAGAGGTTGCCTCCTTCACTTATCTGGGAAGAATTGTTTCAACTACATGCCAGTGGAACGAGATGTCAAAACCAGCCTTCATCAACCTGAAACCAGTTTAGAAATCGTCTACACTCAGCATAAGGAACAAGATTCACATTTTCAACACCACTGCCAAGTCAGGTCAGAAACTTGACCAGCAAGTAACGAAATAGATTTTCAACAGATTGAAGACTTTCATCAATGGCTGCCTTCACTGGCTCCATACTGAAGATCAAATGGCCAGAGAGAATTAGTAACAAGAAACTCTGACTGGCTGGCTGGCAAGAAACCAACCAAGAGCCGATCGCTCAACAAGTATGTAGGAGAAAGTGGAGATGGATCGGAAATACATTGACGAGACCGCCGAATGACATCTCACGCCAGCCTCTCAAGTGAAATCCAAATGGGAAGCGACGAGTGGGTCGTCAGTAAGAGACTGACACGGAGGAGATCGTGTGGGGGGGGGGGGAGATGACAGATAATGGGCAGTTTTCGACCCAGTTGAAGAGGACGGCAGAAAACAGAACAAAGTGGAGATGTGTTGTTGAAGCCATCCCCATGTTTCCCTCGCAGCTCAAGGGAATAACAATAATAATAATAATAATCAGTCTTTTAAATAAAGATGCATCTTCCAACATAGATTAAATTTACTTGATAAAGTCCCATAGTATCATTCAGCATTATCACTTATGGCGTTTTGAGCATAATTTATTTCTCACAATCGTATCAAGGCACTAACACAACTTTTCAATTCAGTTTTTTGTGTGAGCTGTGAAGTTTCGATAGCGGTGGTATAATCATTGTATTGCTATTCGTCCCTTGAGTTTCTAGTAAAATTGAGGCCTACCATTGCAAATCAATGTGTTATTCTGTTCTCTGAAGTCCTTCCATTTTCTCCTCACACATATCTTCCATGTGCCACCCCTCCCGGAAAACTAAACCATCGTTTATCGATCAGATTTGACTCAAGGACTTTCTTGGCTAGTGATATTCTTCAGTCGTCTTCTCAGTAGATGTCAAATCCATCTTCATTTATTTCCCTCTATTTTTGGGACAATAAGTTTTTGTTTCATTCTCTACACTATCAAACCTCCTGTTGCTCATAATCTCCAATTGGCCATCTAATCTCTAGCGCCGAGTAAAAGCAATTGTTCATAAAAGTCCTCTTTCTTTCGGGGAGTGACAATAATCTCTCTGAACCATACTGGATCACTAACTTGACATTAGTGCTGAAAGTTGTAATCTTGTTATTTATGCTGAGTGCAGTACAAATCCAAACTGATTTCAGAGCAATAAACGCCTGTTGTGACTGGACAACACAATCCTGACATTGAAATCTTTATCCATACCATCTAGAGTTGAAAGGATGCCGTTGGGTACACTGCAGGAGGTGATTTCCTTTGGATTTCTCTCTGTGATGGTGATCGGTGTTTGTTTATTTATTATTTTATTTTTGATTACAACTTGATTCCACACTGTATTTTTGGTACAAGTATGGAATTTTCAGCATGGATATCGGTAGCCCAAATTTTGCAGGCCGACCATACATATCAGGTGTGCGTCGGGGGACCGACTGACGGGAGTTTACTTGCCCGCCAGCTGTTAGCTGAATATCTTCATCACTTAAGTCTTCGGTGCGCTGATCCACAGTTCTGTCTCCAACGCGTCCTCTGTTAATGTGTTCGCTTTCGCCTGTAGGCCCAGTTTGTGCGACACCAACCTTGAAATGACAATCTAGGTTGTACAGGATTCGAATCAATAACTTCTGGACAACCAGCTTAGAATCAAGAATGATTACTGTTTCTTCTATGTGAAGTAAATAAACTGGATTTCAGTCGAGTAATATGTAGTACCTTCATAAAAGCCTCCTAATAAATCCAAAAGTTTATTGAACATTGAATATAGAAAGAGATAGTGGAGTACTCTGATCTTGTAAATGTATGAGGAACGTCATTTACATTCCATCTTCAAAATGAAAAGATATTCGTATTTTTTTATATTTCTCATTTTCAGTCATATTAGCCCATTTTATTCAGAAATATGAGCTTTGCGAATGGATAATTCAATACTGCCTTAATTCTTGAAGTTTGAAGTTATTTAATTATTGTTTGAAAATATACATAATTAGTTTGAATCATAGTGCCAAATCCATTTTAAAATTCAACTTATGAGAATATTATGTAAGAATGAATTTATCCAAAATAAAATATTAAACATTGAAAAGGCATAAAAGAGAAACCTACAATTTCTCCAGGTGATTTCTCAATGCACTAGAGTCGACTTTATCTACACTTTTTGTTTGATACACTGATTCTGTAGACTGATTTTCATTTGATCGCTTTTCAGATGATTTTACATCTCTCTTCTGATCTTCTTCAGCCTGACTATAAAACAATAAGATAATATTCAAGAGTAAACTTGCAGGGATTTGATTGGTTACAGGATTTCATCATGAGCTGACATCATTGAGAAAACTTTTGGAAGCTAACCACGGAGTACTGGACAGAGATTTTACCAGCCCATTTTTGAACTCTTTGACAGTACGTATTCAAGAGCTTCCGGTTACTAGGCAAGCTAGCTCGTAGACCATTCAGCTACCGCCCCCATATCCTGTGACCAGTCCATGAATCCCAACTTCTTCAAATTCACGACACAGCCCCTCTACTGGCCAGTGTCATCACAGAATATCTGTCCTCATACTCGACCTTCTATACCCCACTGGTCACGACTTCCCAACAGAACCTGGGCAATCACCTACCTGAATAAGGTCAGTCAATAGTGAGCACCAGATTATTATTCAAGTGTTAGTTTACAGGGATTTGATTGGAAATTACAAGAAGTTTGAATTCATGGACAGTTGGACGGGGTCCCAGTGGCTGAATAGTCTCCCAGCCCAGCTCTAGGTTTGAACTCCGGTTGACATGGTACTGCTGAGCAGTCACAATTTAGATGGAGGAAACAGTTGTCCAGTATTCCCAAGGGATTTTTCAATATTTCTCTAACCGATGTCACCTCATAATCAAATCCGGTAACCAATTAATATATGTAATAATTTACTCGGAGCTATATACTACTAATTGACTGGGGTGAGTAGTTGGATACTACTCACATCAAACAGCAGTGCTCGCAAACTATCTAGATCGAGGTGTTCTAAACAACGGACGTCTGTCTCACCCATTTGAGTTGGGTGAACTCGTCAGCATCTCATCCTGTTTGACCCAGCTAAGAGAGGCGAATCAGTTAAAAACCACCCGAATTCTGACCAGCTACTTAAACGAACTGGTAATGCGTTAAATCAAATTCGCAAGTCCCAAATTATTATGATTTGAGCAATTTCAGTTTCCATAAGATACTACTATGAAGTTTCACCTTGAACTGCGTAAATCGTAAATTCATTATGTCTGTCTGTCTGTCTGTTTTCGACATAGAAGTTTGCAGTGATGTGCACCAGTTCAAGTCACCACACTCCCTCCTTCTAGCACACAAAGCAAGAAAGGAAAGTAGAAGAAAGGCATAATAGAGACAGTAAACAGAGGTGTGAGACAAAGGAATAGTTGTAACGAAGAACAATATAGTTTCATTGGAAATCATAAGTCACAAGGAGTGGATGCATCTACGCCATCACTGAGAACGATTTTGAGCCATGTCACCAGTTGTTTCCAACCATTGGTTTTTACCGTCCCGCGGACCCCAACCAGTCAGGAAGTCTACACCTTCTTACGTGGCTTAGACTAACTGTTGTAGATTACATTGACTGGTGCAGCCATGTTTTGATTTGACCGCCGCTAGATGTTTTCCAACCTGACCCTATATCCGCTAACATTGCCTGTTGTCGAGGAAGGCGATGACTAAGCATCCGTAACACATGTCTTAACCATCTCAGCTGGTGTAATTTCACAACCTCATCGATTGATTTCCCCTCCTTACCTAGCCTACTACTCGACGCCTAACCTCAATATTGCTCACCTTATTTTACCACTTCACACGGGAAATAGGACGCAGGCACCTATGATCGAAGACAGCTAATCTTTTCATGTCTTCCACTCTCAGTAGCCAGGTCTCACAGCCATGAAGGAGGACGGAGCGGACTGATGAGCAGTACACTCGCCCTTTGCTCGATAGTCGAATATCTCGTCTACGCCAGAGACGGCGTAAAATGGCAAATGCGAAACGAGCCCCCTGTATCCGTGGTGAGATTTCGTCAGAGATCAACCCGTTGGCGTTGGCTGATGGTACTTCCCAAATAAGTGAAGCGGTCAACGTGCTCTACCACTTCACTCCCTATTTCTAATCTAGCAGTTGCTGCAGTCCAGTCTTGTAACATCATCTTGCATTTGGCGGGAGCGAATTGCATTCCAAACACTCATAGATTGCTGCTCAAGGTGTTCAGAAGACTCTGAATTTTATCCGTCAGCGTCCTCGCCTAGAAGGATTATATCGTCTGCATATTCTAAGTTAACGAGATTATTCCCTAGTAGCGAGTCAATCCCTGAGTCGCTGAAGTGAGTTAGGGTTAAGTCCATTTGTACATCTATGATGAAGTTGAATAGAAAAGGGGATAATGGGCATCCTTGACGGAAACCACTAGTCGCCACCACTTCAGATGACAACTCGCCGTAAGCCCTCACCTGGCTGCATGAGTGAGAGTAGAGTGCCTTAATTAGTGCAATGTATTTTCTCGGCATTCCTTTTACAGCCAAGCATCGCCAGATAACAGTAATAATATACTACTGAAATGTAACATACATTTTATTTAGTCTGCCTCTTTGTCTTCGAAAACGTTCCAGCCACAAACTGTTATCTTCTTCATCTTCTGATGAACTTGAAGATGATGATGCTGATGACGACGGTGATTTCCTCGACGTAGATTTAATTTTTAAATCATCCACCGCCCTTGAAAGAAAGGAAGATAATCAATGTACAATATAACTCTATGCTTGTTTTACTTACTCAGTTGAATTATTAACTTTTTCAAAAGGTTTATGTTTAATCATATTCATATTATTATCTTCTTGTATCTTATTCATCAGTGACTTCATTTCATTTTGAAGATGGATAGAAGTATCATTTTCTTGAAGAATTTCAGAAAAAATAAAGAAAAATTAAATAATTAAATTAATTTAAATTAATTATGAGTAAAATAATCAATAGAGAATAAACATTGTAGTGAGCCATTATTACTGACTCAATCTCATTATTCAAACTTGAGATTTTGTCATTACAGTGAACTGTAGATCGATGTTAGAGGGTTAGAGAGGAAGCCTTTCATACGGTCTCTTGTTACCGAAGCCTATCTTCAGCCTAGAAGCAAATGACGTTCGCTAAGTCACTTAGTGTTTCCGTGATATTTTTAACAAAATTAGAGATCTTTATTTATGAATTGTGAGACGATTTTAAGTCTGATTACGAACTAAATAATAATAATAATAATTTTTCCTTCACGTTCCCCAGTGGAACATAGGGCTTCAAGCTAGTAGCTTGAAGTTTCTGTAGCAGAGTTTATTTTACAGGATGGGGTTGCTAGCCTCACGCCCAACCTTTGCTCTTTACCAGAATTATTTGTGGCTTAGAGAGGTAAGAGTGTGCGTCGGCCGGGGATCGAACCCCGGACCACGTGCATGGTCAGCGAGCGTCCTAACCGCTATACCACCGACGAACTAATTTTATGAATCTATGAGATTGGAAAGAGCAAATCCACCTGAGCGATTGAGAATGACTTTTTATGACTATTAAATTAAGATTATTTTTTACCTTTGGTTCCCAATAGGACATGCGACTTCAACATCACATCTCTACATCGTCTGATATTCGGAGGTACTCTTAAGATGGCCCCAAGATTGTCCATAGTCTCTCGTCTCCTCCCCACACAATCTCCTCCATGTCACCCTCACACGCTCAACTTATCATTTCCCATTCAAGTTCCACTCGAGTGATGGCCTGCATTGGTCACTGTGTCATTCGACGGTCTCCTGGGCATATATCCAACCCATCTTACTAGCCACTGGTTTTTTTTGAAGAACCTCAGTCAAACAGTTTGTGCCTTCCCATGAGACTCGAACCAGGTGTCAGGAACTTGATGGATTGATTCTATCTCTTAGTGTAACCACCTCTCACGCGCCTCCTGTCTGATTCTCTGTCACGTTTAGTGAAGGGATGACTCGGCAGGCTTAATTCATGTCTTCGCACTTGAAATCATTGTAACTTCACAACCTCACAGACTCCCTTACTCCTTACCTAAAACCATAATTCTAACCTCATTCATTATTGACAAAATTACTCCACTTAGCAAACATGACTCAATGGTCAAATATGCTAAGCTCCTTCACATCATCCGGTGCTCATCAGTCACAGCTGTAAAGAAGAACGTCGTGGGCCACAATACATAAATTCTTCGATGGACCGACGGCTACCACACCTGCACCAAAGGAGATGACGATGAAAGTGATAAGCAACCTAGGCATTAATCCAGTCACATGTGAAGATACAGTGACGTATATATACAGTAAGGTAGGGAAAACCTTAAATTCTTCTTTAGAGGGAAAAAGGGGGGACATTAATTTCTGAGTCAACTAAAAGTCAATCATTCAAGTCAATTAGTTTAACAGTTGGCAAATAAAATCAATTGAATTCGTATTTATAGGCCTCGATTAACAGATTAAGTGATTTGCTATTAATCATTAATCATAAAAGTATATAGCCTTCAGAAGCAAATCCACTATCACACTGTAGGGAGCTGGGGATAAATACTTCTGAAGTGGACCATTTCAGTTGATGAAATGTTTTAAAATCATTCAAAATTCACTTCAAGTGGAAACTTTTACTAAAAAATATTATATACTAGCAATTAAAATAAGTAGTTTACTTTTTTCTTCAACATTTTTATACGTAGCACTAAATTTCCTTTGTATACTAGCATATCTATCAGAAGTTCTTTGTAAATATTCAATAATTGAATTATTTTTATGAAAGCTTTCTATAGTTGATTTATCATCTGTTTGAATGCAAAACAGTAATTAATCAGTGTTCAATTTTAAATATTTTCAAACCATATTCAATTTCTTTTGGATTGAAAATTGAATTCAATTGTTCTTCAGATACTTTATACTGTTCTAAGAATTCATCTAAATGTAGAGGATATTGGATAAAAACAAAATTTTCCAAAAAAGAAATTACTTAATTCCTTATACTTTTCATCATCATCATTATTAGCAGCATTATCACCATCACTGAATGTTTTCAATGTTTCATTTGGAAAATATGTTTGATAATTCTCTCTTTGATAAGTTGTAGCGCTAGTTATAGTACGTTTTTTGATTATAGGAACTTTTCTGAATTGATTCGATGGAGATTTTACAATTTCAGATGACTTTTGTTTATTCTGAAGATAATCCAACCATTCTGCTTCAGATGCAGGATCAAAATTCCCTGTTTTTAAATTATATTCATCCATTTTTTGTTTTAACTGTTCAAATGCTTTCTGGAAAAATTTCAAATAAATCAGCAAGATGAAATTTAATTTAAATTTGGCTAAATAAATCTTGATGAACATCAAGTATTACATGAACAAATCTTGAAATACTCAGGTATTTGTTTTTAGGGATTTGATTGATTTGGTCAAAAGATTTCACATCATGAGTTGACATAGGTTAGAGTACCATTGGAAAGCCTGGGAGTACAGCACAGATGTTTCGTCTTAGTTTGGGACTCTTTAACAGTACGCACCAACCGGTGTTCGAACCCAGGACCTTCTGATTACAAGTTTAGCACTTAGACCATTAGCTATAGACTCAGGAGGTAGTGGGTTAGAACGCCGGTGGGTGCCTCTTGTTGAAGAGTCCCAAACTAGGACGAAACGGCTGTGTTGCACTCCCAAGCTTTCCAATGGTTCTCTAACCTATGTCAGCTCATGATGAAATCATGTAACATATCTTGAAATAGTTAGTACACGGGGTGTTTATGTATTTCCACGTCTACTAGAAGAGGAAATTTGAGGACTAAACGTTCATATAAAGCTATTTATTACTATTAGTTGGTTGCGAATGAAACTTAGAGTTTTAGAGACACATTTCCAATATACTGATTGCTATTCTGTCGTTCTCAATTAGCTGTCTGGCTGCTTGATAGTTTTTTCTTCTTCCTTGAATGATCTCCCACCTGTTACCTTCGGACAGCCTACTCGTTGCTCTCTATTTAGCATCCATTTGACGACATGATGTGTGACGTCACTGGGAGGTCTAAAAGCTTAACGGGCACTTCGTTCGTCTGGAGCTGAGTTCATTAACAGTCTGTCCCGTTTGCTTCAGCCCAGGGAGCCAAATTAGTTCATATCACTCGAATTCTTGTCAACTACTTAGACGAACAGCTAAGAGAGTGAATCAGACTTATACTTACTAAATATAATGACAAAGAGAATCAATCGATATAGGGTTTCATTTATAAATTAATAACTGAATCTTATAAGGTGAAACCTCAAATGACTGGGGCAATAATCAGGAAGCCCTAATTGACGTAGGTTTCGTGCTTATTGTCACTCACCAGTCAGCCAAGCGTATCTACAATCTTAAAGGAACTCATGTCCCTTCTGAGATTCGAACTCGTGTCACCCAGCGCTGCAGAATTTATAGTGCACCATGATGTCGGATCATCTAGCCTAACGGTGGTCACATTTGTTATGTACTGCTGCTAAGTGGTTAATCGTCGTTTTCCCCGTCGCCAATTATGTTATGTACTGCTCGTCGAGTAGTTAATAGTCCTGACGCGGGAAGAGGGAAATCAGAAGACCACTCGGTTTACGATGATACTTGTATTTTCCAGACAAGGAAAAATAAATGTCACACAAGTGTGTGAGTGGAAGGGTACTTAGTGTACGAACGTGAGAACAAGAAAATTGTACAAGTGTCTAATACAAAAGTATTTATGAAAATGGCTAATACACCAATAAGATAACATCTTACCATGATTGGTTATAATGTCATGTGATAAAAAGGTCATACATGTTTATTTGGTTAGTGGACAGACAAAAGCATATTGTTAGTTATAATGAAATATCGATCCATTTACACATAACAAAATATGATAGACTGTCAACAACAAAACACACACATCATGTGGATACATATCACATTACAAAATTGAATGATAGAAAGGACTAGACGCATGACACCAGTTGGTAACCAGTGTCCAAATCAAAGCAAACTTCATACTGTATTTACATTTTGTCGAATTATTACTAATGGATTGACCAAAGAGATAATACTCAGAGGCTAAAACTATAAACGGTCAATTCTGTGGCAAACAAACCTTCCATTTCCTAAAATTGATCACATTTTAAAATGCTCCCGTCTAGATTGCTTTATCGGAATGTTTCAAGTGAGAATGTTGTCATTACACATAATGTCATTGGAAGTGTGGAGATGTAGTTCATTGAATTAACCATTTAGCAAGTTTGTCTGGGCTTCAAATTTCAATACATCTCCTCAAAACCTGAATGATTAAGTGATATGAACACCTCTTATGTAATAAGTGTACACAGAACTATGAAAGGAGGAGTAAGTAATCAAGTTACTTGAAGAAAATCCTTCCGTACTATAGTGAACCTTTTCTAAACATCCAAATTCATTTGACTGGTATCAACAAATATTTTGCACTCCAAGTGGAACGCAAATCTTCAAGCTTTGAAGTTCCAGCAAAGACTGTGATGTTATTCTTACAAGGTGAGGTTTCTAGCCTCACTTGCAGAATTCCTTCTTTTCTGGGTTTACTAACAGCCAAGCAAAATTTAAGAATGAGCAAGTCAGCAATCAAGCTCCAGCTTCCCGAGTGGCTGGTAAGTATTTGACGTTTGAGCATGCAGAAATCACCCTGTTGGGGATCGAACTCAGGACCTGAAGACCTTGAGGAGAGCCTGTCGATCATTTACACACTGGAACAAAGTGTTACTCACTAGGTGACTAAGCTACAATGCTTTTTTTGTTAACGCTTGCCTAGTGAGAAGTAGAGTTTGAATATTTGGGCAGTTTTCGTATGATCATATGATAAACATCATAATTTTAACAGTTGCCTTTATGAATTTAGAGAAAGTAATAAGAAGACGTAATTTGTCTGAATCGTGTTGTAATGTACTTGCATGCAACACATTTCGAACAAACTGATCACACACGGACTTGTCATAGGAATATGTATGCAATTAATAAAGAGTTAAGAGGTGAGAAAACAGACTTAGGTCATGTAAAAGGACATATTGAAGGTCAGAAAAACAATAAAAACCACTAAGCTAAATAACAAAGGTAAAAGTACATCTACCCTGGCTGGTATCAAAACAAAACCAAGTTTACTCAGGAAGGTCTAGTGTGATGATGAGTTGTTGCTGTGAACGCATCAAGGTGGTTTGAACTTCCTGAGTGCTAGCTAGGGCTCCCAAAATCTTCAGGACACGCCCCAAACACGTTTTAATACATAAGTTTAAAAGACGTGTAAATATTAATTTTTATGTCCTGTCTCTATAATATGTGTTTTACAATAGAGGAGCTAGGTCATCTGTTTTCATCACCAATGGGTTCTGGGGATTCAGATTGCTTCTAAAATCTTTATCTAAAGAGGTTAATGAGTCCTCCCTATGTGTGTGTGTGTGTGTGGCCCTACGTACACTTAAATTGGTAAATACAGTGGGATGTGACATCATTTTTCGCATACCCTAAAGGCTTAGATGGATAATATGGGCTTCATATTCTCAACTACGCTGATCTTAGGAGCATAAAAAGCCTTTTTAACCACAGCGCTCCGCCATTGTCGAATAAGCTAAGCTGATATGATTACCCATGCATAGGGTAACCTCATATATGCGACTTTCTCAGTGACAAGTTTATTTACTTATATGCTTTTAAACTCACTTTTTCAGTTTCTTCTAATTGAAAAAGTTCTTCAGGTTTTGGACGTACATACGGTGTGTCAATCTATTTAATACACAGTAAAAAGATAAACTGTTGCATGAGTTCATAAACTATTTACCACAACTCCATTTATTGTTATTTGATTGTTATTCTTATTATTATTATTGTCATTATACTTCTTCAGTACATCATTGTATTTACATTTTGACCAATTTTCTTCAATAGCCTTCTGTACAACTTCAAATGGGACATCATATTTTGGATCACGTTCCATTGACTCTGCTTCTTCCTTCTTCGTCTTCTTCTTATTATTATTATTTTATTCGATTAAAATCAATAATCTATCAAGAAAAGACACTGCAGAGATACTCACACTGAATTGATAAAACTAAGAAACATTTAGCAAATACTTTTACATAATATTAATTTCAAATAGTACTGTTATAGTCTAGCCAATAATTCATGGTGTGATGTGTACTACTGACACGATTTTATGAGCAGTACATTGGTGACATCTTTTGCAGGCATCTTAAATAGATATCTTGATTGAGAAAGCAGGGAGTAAGCCAGCAGTTGTAGAAACTACCCGTCTAAAGAATGAATTTCAAACGATCGCTGATGTGCTAGTGTTTTCGCCCAGGTTTGGCCTCTGATTCTACATTGAGCCCAACTTTAAACCCCTTCAGTGACTGAAAATAGAGAAAGACTCTTGAGGGAAGTTTTTGTGATGAGCATTACGTCTACTCTGAGCATGATTTCATCAATGGACATATTTTCAAGGAAGTAAAATGTTACACCGTATTTACCTGTCGACATGTGACAGTAAAGCAGAATTACTAGAAGCAGAATACGCAGTGAATTCCGTTCAGCAAGATTCTGGGTACGATAACGGTTACAACACCAGGATACAGCAGTACTTGTATTCTACTTCCTTTGCCGTCACTTTATTCTTTCTGTATATATTGTTTCACAATGATCTTTATTTCTCCTCTTAGTAACTTAATTCATTGCTCCACTGTACACGATCTTTTCAGAAGATATCGCCGATATAGTACGTACAAATTCTTTTCAGTAGATCGTACCACAATGGCAACAGAAAGTATGCAACTAGTCTAAAGGTCGAACCTACTTAGGGTAAGGTTAAAGCAGTTGCATAAATGTGGTGCGGTGAATTCTAGAATTTAGATAAATCTTTTTTTATCTTGCATTCATCTAATTGCGTTCCGGCTAGTTCTGCGATTTAACATGAATTCAAAGGAGTTAACCAGGTAGCAGCCATCAGTAGTTGTTATTCTAAATTTTTCTGCCTTGCTACCACAAAAGTCCTGTACAAACATTTGGTCCATGTTTCAAAATGAAAGTCACAATAAGTTTTAAATCACATTTTTTCAGAAACAGTGTTTAGTCTAACCCTATCCTGCTGAATTCTAAGTAATGACTCAGGTATCTACGAACCTGATCCCTTTTCTACCTTTTTTAATGAACATTTAGAGTAAATTAATAAATCACTCTACAAAGACTTGCTTTAGATCAGGTTTCAGCGTTTTGTAATTGTATTTAGTTGTAAAAGTTGGTGTGAACAACCTCTCCGGTGAGTTCATTTAGAGAAAATGGGGATTTAAGAAAATTTTATTAATAAGTCAAATGTAAATAAACAAGTCTGCAAGACACATGATATAATTATGAGCAATAAATTGTACTAGAATTGTCATTCAGTCATTTAATTCTATAACTCTGAGCATTATGTTAAAGTGCCCAAGTTCTACACTTACATTTTTCAAGGTGTAAATTACGCCAAAGTAAAAGTTTAGCTACACTGAAACCACAAATTTAATATTCTCTAATATTTTAACTACCAGTTTTTAGTGTTGAAAGTTGCAGTCTGATTGACAAATAACAAACTCTCCAGTCAACATCCAGTTGCTCGTTGGTGAATAAATCCCTTTATGTTCTCCTGGTTTGTTTTTGTCAACAGTTTTCAAATTTTTTAAACGTTTATTCTTACTACCAGTAAGACAGCATATTTTCACATATACTTCCATGCTATAGTAACATTTCGCTGACCTCTTTAGTGAAAAAAAACCTTTTCCGTTATTAGGCTCACATATTGACTGGCTACAGTGGAATAGCACTCTTTAATGATCCCCTTACTCAACTAAACGACACCATAACATCAAATAACGTAGGAGCACATCAGCGGAGGAGAGAAACGAAATTATGTAAGTCTACTCTCGCAAGGATATCTATGATGCAGCAAAAGTTGGCTTTGACCTTATATGATGCAAGTCAACATTCTAACGAAGACCAAGGAAGTACAGCTTAAAGTCTTAGCTGCTGACAGGTAATAGGATAGTTTAGTACTAATACAGTCAGACTACTCCGTCAATTATTGCAGTAGCATAAATGAACCAGTTGAGAAGCCTACTATATCCGACTTCTTATGTGACCGTAAAAAGTGATTGTATCTGTACATGTATCACCTTCTGCCCTGGTTCTAATCAACAATGAATTAGATGGCACAGACTCATCACACTTCATGATGGAAAATCACCTCGATGTTTCCCATCAGACGAGTGCTGCTTCCATGTTCACGAAAAATTATATGTAGATAAAAGCTAAGTTTGGTAGGTCCTTCTTAGCCGGTAAACATCTGCATTATTAACAGGTTAGATTATACTTAGATACATATGTTGTATGTTTTTGTGTTGTGTGTGCGTCGAATTGCTGATATGCGACTGGATTTAGCGGCTCTATAACTCAGTCAGTTGGAGCGTCGTACCAGTAACACGAATGTCGAGGGTTCGATCCCCTACGGAGCCAGCAATTTTCTTCACAAACTCACACAATCAAATCTCGCTTAATACAATAGACAATGTTTTGTATACCACAAACAATTCAACAACAAATCAATCAAATCCCAAATTTCTCTCCCTCAATCCACACATAACTCATCAACATCATTAATGATGTTTTATTATTTTGTATCTCTCTCTTTTTGAAATAAAATCATACTGAAAGCGTTGGGCCTGAAGAAGTAAGTAAAAGACTCCTAAACCTGTCAGAATTATTTGCAATATGGTCTAAGTTACTGCTTATATAAGTGAATTGCGATGATGAATATCAATAAATACATTGCAATCTTTTTCTAGTGAAATAAAATAACTTTATAAAGATGAATTGTGCGGGAAACTCTGAGGATACGCTTAACCAGAAAAAGTAAAAAAATAATTAAACTATTGACAATTTTGAAAAACCACGGAATATTGTGATGGCAACGTGAAAATGTTCAATAATCAATGTGACCCAATATTATTTTTACGAGGCAATCTAATTCAAATTTACTTCCTTTGGTAAGTATTCCTGATCTAAGACACATCTCGGGGTGGTCTCCTCTACTCAACTGCCGTACCTTTGGTTGACGTGGAAAGGAGTAGTGAGGAGATATGTTATACGTGGTTTGCAGTATGCTGTGTTTATAACGTGCTGCTTCTGTGAACACAATTAGTCCTTTCACCTGTTAGTTTCCTCGTGTGGTCGAGAAGACGTATAATAGTATATATAATTGGCAAACATTACCTAGACCTGAAAAAAAAACGTACGAATAAGTGGATAATAAAATTTAATAATTTGAAGGTAAGTGACTGTGTACATAGTTACCAGAGGAGGCAGAGAGGGGATGATGCTGATAGACAAATGAAAGGTCCAGATGACGCCCATCAATAGACTGCGGTATGTGTTTCAAGGAGATAGTCCATTTGGAACCAGTCCTTGTATCGCATCTTGACTTCACAACCTCCGTTTAAAGTTTTCCACGGAAAGTATAGTAGTAACAGCCACTGATAAAGAGCTCCAGAAGTGACAAGCCCAAGGAGGAAAGATGGGAATGTACTCGAGTCTTCGATCTGCAATGCCCTATCCTTCATGGATCACCACGATGAGAGCTGTAGTTATTTAATATAAGAGTAGTTTTTGTATGATTTACATTATCTGTAATCCTGTAGAAGTTATTAGCCACCCGCAAGCTAACAATAGCCGGGTACGAAAAGGCCCATTCTCTCCAGGTTTTGCTGGTATGGCTTACTACGGAGACCCATTGCCCTTCAAGAAAGGTTGGGCCCATATTAAATAATGAGGGGCTGTGACACCCTGCGCTTAGAAGTTCGGCTATTCGTAAGACTTACGCAATTTTAGGAGGAGCTCAGGAATGAGTGCCTCTGACTGTCTGTGTGTGACGCGTGCGACCACGTATCATATCAGATATGCAATGCTCTTGAGGCGTACCATATACTGCCTTCCAGTGAGAAAAGGACATTTTCAAGTCTCTTTTATCAACTTTACCGATGGGAAGAAATGTCAGAACTTTCTGTGCTCCGGGGAGGAGTATTTGTTGATGAATGCTCTTCTGTGAATTTGAATAGACTTCCCTGCTCTACTTGTCCTCCGGAGAGCTAATGAAATGCACGTGCTCTAATAAGTTCTATGCTGTAATTTTATACGGGTCATCGCTCGGCCACGCTATGAATATTTTAACCTGAAAGCCGTTTGCTAAACTGATGTACGTGATAAAGTTGATAATTTACCGTTTTTGATTCTAGCTAACTATAATTTACCCTACAGACCCCCGTAACAATAATTGGCAAGGGTGCATTTTGTTTCCAATATACTAAAGTTTGGTCCTTAGCATAACTAAAGCACCATTTAATATATATATATATATATATATATATATATGTATATACCACGAAATATAAGGGGGCGTTGAGTTTAGAGTTCCTCTCTGTTGGTTACACTCTCGTTTATTTTATAGCTGAGTTAATGATTTTGTTATCTTATTTAAGTAGTTGCACCGCATATAAGTCTGACAACGCCTTATAGCAACGAGGTTGTGATGATTCCTAAGACTGCAGCTGATGACAGCGGTAGATTTAGTTACTGACCTGGAGGAGGGCCAGAGGTTAGTTGGTTTGTAGTAGAAGATAAGGTTCAGCTTAAGGCACCTTTTCCAAAGTGGTTTTGTTTTCAGTCTGTTGCGCTACCCAGTGTGGTCGAGACTACATTCTAAACCAGAAGTTCTTGAGGTAAACTGCCGTTGTACTCCCTCCATTTCATGCTTGTCATTCGGTCATAGTCCGCCAAGAGTAAACGGGCAGTATTCTAAAATCTGCTGGATACCTACTTTGCATAATAAAACCCTAGCTTCACAAGGAATGACATCGCGAGCTTTGCCTGCTCAGAGCCTGCCTGTTTCACACCCAGCATAATCAGTTTGTTCAC